CTGATCGTCCTTGCAGTGCCGGACCACATGTAACCATGGCTGCATCCGAAATTCGCCTCTGGCTAAGCCCCGCCCCCCTTAGTTACTGTTGCTACGTCCGACAAACAAACTTCATCTGGGCTCTGGTATCAACATGGCTTATGCTGTGACAGCTCTTCCTGCTGAAATTGTATCAAATTTTTATAAAGCAGCAAATAAAGTGTCTGATAGAAGTAGGCAAAAAGGGCTGCAATATACGCTCGAAGGCTATATTCACGACATACAGGTGAAACGCAAGGAACAACAAGGCATCCAAATAGAGGCAAAAGCATACACAGTCAAAAAATGAACCACCGCATATCCTACTAATCGAGACGGAGGCTGGGACTAACAATATCAAGGAGCAACACTGTTCATGCAAAGCTGGGTAGGTCTCTATTCACTTCTATAATCGTTATTACAAAGCAAACGGACTACGCAAGTTGTATTTATTAGCAGCGTGTGCTAGACGACACTTGTCAGGATTTGACTTCGGTTTTGGGAAGGGAAAAAAACGGACACCCCCTCCAACCTCTCTAGGAAACGCGTATCTGTGTTACAAATGCCCCAGGCACAACGTTTAACCATATTTTTGATAAAACTACGACGGTAATAGCCTGCCGAGACCAAAAATATGAGACGCCTGTGTTAAAGTCAATGGAGCGCTGTGAAAAAGTGTCAGACCACTGTGGGAGCTCGTTCTTGGCTGCGCTGTGATTGGTCAATCTACATTCTAGGGTGTGGCTTAGCCAAAGGCGAATTGCATACTTCCCTAATATATATTAGAAAAATAGTATGTGACAAAATAAGTATGTCTGAGCTCACAGTACTCATAAAAGAGTATGCAAAAAGTACCCGGATGACCGACTTCTTTTGGTGAGATTCTGAAGTGTGCATACGATGGACACTTTTCTATCCCATGAGGCCACGGGAGAGGATTTGTGAATGGCAGTGAAGCGACAAAACTGATGCTGGTAGGTCACATATTAATGACAACATGTCAATGTAGTACGTCCAGATTACATTCATACAACACACATTCATACTATACGATTTCGGACGCAGCCCATGTGTCCCCCAGATGTGTTCAAGTGTCTTGGTGGAAGAGTGGAGTAACATCTCACAGCAAGAACTGGCAAATCTGGTGCAGTCCATGAGGATGAGATGCACTGTAGCACTTAAAGGGATACTCCACTTTTTTTGGAAATAGGCTCATTTTACAACTCCCCCAGAGTTAAACTGTTGAGTTTTACCGTTTTTGAATCCATTCAGCCGATCTCCGGTTCTGGCGGTACCACTTTTAGCATACATCATTGAAGTGGACAAGACCATTAGCATTTCTAAAAAAAAAAATGACCAAAGAGTTTCGATATTTTTCCTATTTAAAACTTGACTCTTCTGTAGTTACATCGTGCACTAAGACCGACGGAAAATGTAAAGTTGCGATTTTCTAGGCTGATATGGCTAGGAACTATACTCTCATTCCTGCGTAATAATCAAGAAACTTTACTGCCGTACCATGAGTGCAGCAGGCGTAATGATATGACGCAGAAGAATCAAGTTTTAAATAGGAAAAATATCGAAACTCTTTGGTCATTTTTTTTTTTTGGAGAAATGCTAATGGTCTTGTCCACTTCAATGATGCATGCTAAGCTATGCTAAAAGTGGTACCGCCAGAACCGGAGATCGGCTGAATGGATTCAAAAACGGTAAAACTGGAGTTGTAAAATGAGCCTTTTCCACAAAAAGTGGAGTATCCCTTTAAAGCAGCTGCTGGCCACACCACATATTGACTGCTTCTATTGATATTGTTAAATCTTTTTTTATGTTCATGCAAATATTTGCACATAATAAGAAATTAGTTTATAAGAAATTAACAGTTGAGTGTGGGAGGACATTTATTTTTTCGCTGAGAGTGTATCTATGCATATATATATATATATATATATATATATATAACAGTGTTCAGATGAGGTCAAGATGATAGCAGCACATTCAAAAATACATGTAGCCATCACATAGAGATAATTACGGATGCAGTGCCATTTTCCAGAGCTACATTCGGCTTCCACTGTTTGCCCACTACTGGCCACCTGTTGCTGCTAATGAGTGTAGTGGGGTGTGAATGTGAGCAGCTCCCAGCTGTAACCCAGGGTTCATGATCTAACACACTGATACTGGATATAATTGACATCGGTGGCATTGGGCATGGTTAGGCCGGGCTCCTACAGTTTAACTGCCATTGACTTAATGACCGAGGCAGAGGGGCGCTCACACCGCTAACCCGAGAGCATGTGGCCTCTCGGGAGGGTTTCTACAGCCAGGGCAACCATGGCAACAGCTGAGCCTTACTTGCTAACTAACACAAACATTGCCTGCACACACCACGTACAAACACAATAACCCAGGTTCACAGGTTAACCAGGCACAATGAGATTAAGGAATGAAGGGGACTCATTCGACGTTAATCAAAGTGCAAGGCAAGTTTGCTATAGTTTGTGCCGGAAAAAGCCAGACAATTCTAGTGTGCGAAACCTATTTTAAATTGGTTTGACATGTGGCTGACCAGCCATTAGGTGTGCGCAACTAATAGACATCATGCAAACAAGGCTGATAACAAGTGAACACACAGATGGGGAAATGTACCCATTAGAGACAGTGACACGATTCAATATTTCTAATCATAATCCTTTATTATGACTATTATATCATTTTCATTATATATCAAAAACGACTAAAAACGCTGCATTCTGCTGCCAGGCCATTAGATGGCGATGCAACACTATAGATTGAAAACGTAACATGTGCATGACGTCATCGTTTTCACAGATTCACGTTTGTTTTGTTTACACGGAGACTGTTTTCAAAAACGTGCACTTTGAAACCTGTTTTCATCGTTTTCAGGCACCCAAAACGCCGTTGTCGTGTAAATGATGACCAGCCAAAATGCATAAAATGTCTTCAGTTTTTAGTTGAAAATGGTGTCGTATAAACAGCCCCTTAGTGTGCTTGTTTGGCACAAGACGCCACAAGACACTGAAACAGATACAATTTATAAGCTCGACATTGTTATACGATTTCGAAAATGAACACAATAAGCTTTTATCAGTATAAATGTGGTTTGACAAATGTTTATTATTTGATCTCAAGTATGATAGAAACAAGAGAAGAAACACAAGCAAAACAGTCAACAAGGAACATGAGACTCTTTGTTTTGGTTTAGTTCAATCTCACTATGAAAGAATTTGGAAAGCTCTCGAGTCTAAATCAAAGACAGACTACAAAAATGTTTTGTTCAATAGGGTATCAATCCTTGAATTAATGATAACAGTCAGACGTCCCAGGAAAATAAGGGTTGAGCAGAAAAGCAGTTGTCCTGAGTTAGAGACATACACCTCATGCAGGGAAAGATAAAACAACTCTCTCGGCCTGGAACGAAATAAGTCGTAGCTGTGCGTTTGTACGAGATCCAATGCGCTATACAAAGAGAATGTAAATGAACTTTGAATGTCATCAGCTTCAGCCTTTCATTTTCCACCCTACGACTCTCTCTTTTCTCCCACGAACGCACACACACAGGCCCAGCAGTGTGTAAAGGAAGCACTGGATGTCAGAGACCAAGGCAGGGCCATGCGTTTCATCTTCTGAGATACATCAAAAGACGCACACCAGCTAAAAGTAACAGCACCTCGCTGATTGATAATGCTTCAAGTTCTGTACTATACGTGTCTCTAGAGGTCACACACACACACGCATACAAAAGCAGAGAGCACATCAAGGTCTACATGGTAATGTTTGGTATCTTCACTGATGCTCTTTCGGCTTTCAATAACCAAAGTTTGTGATGTTTGATATGCTAACGATACACATTACACACACAAACAAGATCACAGATTGTCTCGTGTTTGTGGTATGGAATGTAACATCTCTTTTTGTCTACCTGGTTTTAGGGGGGGAAACCCTGAAATATTAAACGAATTCTCCACAGGATAGGAGAAGAGTAAGACATTATGTAATTCATTTGCACGAGCAGGAAAATCCAACCAATCTGATCAAAAAAAAAAAAAAAAATTCATCTGTGCTATTAAACAATAGTGTGATAAACGTTTAACCCTCTGGTGCTTTTCGTTCATTTTCGTTTTGGTTTTTTGGAATTGTTTACTACTTTGGAATGGTATAAAACTTTTGACACTTGCTTTGTGAAAATAAATCAATAAATCATGGACATGATTCGAAAAGGTTAAATGGTCCTGAAAAAAAACCCCAGTCACACTTGTCAAAAATGACAGCATTGGAAATTAATAGGAAATTAATTTCTTAATTCTAGTGGAAACGTTTGGTACTGCGCCCAAACAAAATTTTACTTAAAGCAAATTTTTTGAGATATCAACCTCAGATTTGGAACACAACTTGTTTAGATTTATGGCTTTGATTTTCTCGCAGTTAGAATAAAAACATGTTTTGAAAACTATATATTTCATATACAATTTGAAAATAGCATTTTTGTGCAAAAACTTAGCAATAATCTGTCGAGTGTCTTCTTTAAAAAGAGACCAAACTTAAGTCTGTGCTCCAAAGCATTTCATTTTTTAGGTCTATGCTCAAAAAGTGAATAAACAGATTATAACTACTATTTAAAATTAATTTAGTACCATAAAATCCCCTAAAAATACAAAACATTAAATAAAAACATTATCAAACTAAAAAAAAAAAAAAGTACATTCATATCATTGGGATTTTTTTTGTAATTTTTGACTGCCAGACGAATAACACCAGAGGTTTAAAGGGATAGTTCACCCAAAAATGAAGATTATGTCATCATTTACTCACCCAGTCATCATTCCCAACCTGTATGACTGACTTTTGTGGAACACAAAAGAAGAAATTTAGAATCTGCCATTTATACAATCAAAACAAAGGGGAGCCAGGAGTTGTTAAACTCCACAACGCAACGCACCATGCATAAGTATCATAAAAGTATATTCCAAGCCTCCTGAAGCCATAACTTTGTGTAAAACTCACTGAAATTTAAGTTGTTATTCAGTGAATCTTGCCTTTGATTGTATAAAAAACAACAGCCAGGAAATTCTGCTATAAATAACTCCTTTTGTGTTTCATGCAGAAAGCCGAATGCATTTTTAAAAGACATGAGAGAGGAGAGAGTTAAAGATTACAGAAATTTGATATCTGGATGAACTATTCCTTTACAACTAAAAGATCCAAAAAGAAAACAAGTTGGTTCTTCTAATCTCAAAGCTGTGGGGCATGTGGAGCTTTATTAATAATCGAAAAAATTATCAAGGATAAACACTTGGGGGGGGGGGGGGGGGGGGTCTGTGATGCTTATGCGCACATTAAGACTCATCTTCGTTCCTTTCACGCAGTTTATGCTGGTTTAAAAGGCATAGAAAAGGCCATTGAAAGGAAATGTGTAATACTATGGCACTTCATGAATGGCTCATGTGTCCAGCCACCCAGAATCCTCTGAGATGGCATATCTGAGAAAAGTCCTTCAGTCCATGTCCAGATCCAGATCCAGCTCAGTGCTCAGGTTGAGGTAGAAGAATGCATAGATGCCTAGCAGGAAGACCAGAACAGCCACAATGACCAATATGATGTCCTGCAATCAGAGAAAAAGAAAAACGGTTTACTCTTTCGGATTCAGACGTTGCTAAATAAGAGTAAAAAGAATTAACGCAGAGCACTAGCATCAAATTAATCCATAAAAGGGGCTTTCGCACCGGATTGTTATAGGAACACAGTTACAGGAACTAGCCATCAGGGGGGTCCCCCGAGAACTAGATGTTCCCCTCTGGCCATTTTCCTGGTTGCATTCGCACCGCCAGTAGGAACTCTGAAGTAATGCAAGCCAGTTGACAATGACAACATTTAAGCGCGGCATTCAACAACATCAACAACTCCGTAGCATAAAGGTTGAATAGTGCCTTCACTTCGGCGTTGATCCATCTATCGCTCATTTCCATGCTCGTGGAGTTAGTTAGTGTAGTAAGTCTATGTAAACTGTGTGTTTACATGGCTTCATAAGATTGGCAGGTGAAAAACTATCCGACCAATGAGATTGCCGTTTTTGCTCACGTGTCTGGAGCTTCTGAAGTTACAGTAAAACACAACTTGGGGGCGCTCAAACACAAAACGGTCTTGCTGAGCACACATACGTAACGGCAAAGATGCGGCAAGTAGCGTCTATACCATAGATATCCATAATAAAGGCTAGATGTCTCGTCCGCGCTGCTGGCCAAATATGGCCTTTATTATGGATATCTATGGTCTACACTGCCGGGAAGAAATAAGACGAGGAAGATGCGAGGCAAGATGAATGTAGAGCTTCTGGTCTCGTTGGTGTCGGAACATAAAGAACTATGACAAACGCGACAGCGACTACAAAATAGGACTATTTCTGTTTTACATTAAGCGTCAGGGAATGAATTTGCATGTCCACTCGGCTCATCGTCAGCGAAAATCGCTTGGGTGTGAACACAAAAAACGCGTTGAAAAACGCTGACGAATAATGCGCGCCGATATTCGTGCCGGTGTGTACGGGGCTTAACTCTGACGTAGGAGCTAATTGAGTCCCATAAAAAGATGTTCCTATAACTAAAATCCTTCCTAGTTCCTGCGGTGTGAACAAGCCAAAAAGAGAGTACTATGAAACTATGAAAACGTTCTACCGGTGCGAAAGCCCCTAAATGTTAAAGTCCCCATGAATTCAAAATTGCCCATACATACTTTGTTTGCCTAAATTGATCGTTTTGTGGTGAACAATTCATCCATGCAAGTCAATCCACACAAAAAATTTTTTTGGCTTCGTAATCTTTAATCAAAATCTGAAATTTCCCCTCCCCTCTGCATTGGAGGACCTTCCCTGATGACGTAGGTTTGACGGTTTGGGTGTCTGCTTAACATCCGTAACCACGCCCCTCCAACTGACACGAAAACACCTACTTTTCTAGATCCAATCAGGTGCTAGTTGGAAAAAAAGCCACGCCCACTATTTTGCCTCATTTAGTATTCCGTTTCTCTCGGAAATACGTCACAACACTGGAGAAAAGTCGTTTGCAACTTCCGGTTCACGGGGACTTTAAACACTGTGATTGTTTTAAACCATGACTTCAGTGTGGAAACATTAAAATGACTCCAATGTGTTCTGAAATGTGTATGTTCATTCTTATAAATCAGATCTGAAACAAAAAGAGGTTTTACAGGCTGATGCCATAGAAGAACATTTTAAAGTTCAACCAAGAACCTTTTATTTTAGAAAAATCAATGCTTTATAAAACCCAGAAACCAACTGTTATTAAGAACCTGCATGAATCTATAATCTTCCATTAACCTTAATCTAATCGGAAGTTGCAAACAAAACTTGCCTTGCCTTGCCTTACTCATTAGAAAAAAAAGAATGTTCTTAAAATGTTCATGCTGCATTATTAAAATACATATTTAGTTAATTCTGCTTTGAAATACCTATTAATTGCAATGCCATTCCCTAGAAGTTTAAGACAAAATGAAACGCTCTCCTTTTCATACTGTAGCATGCAGACTCAAGACTGATCATAACAAAACACAGTTATGTAGTTCTCATAGGCACAAATGTTCAGCATTAGTATCAGTATATTTGGAGCTCTTTATCTTTACTCTCGCTGTGACACAAATAGGGTTTGGCAGACCCAGCAGGCTCAGAGAAAGTTAATCTCCCAGAAATGTCTTTGTTCTAATTAAGAGTTGTTGGGAGCTTAATGCCCGAGCTAAATTGATGATGGCTGAAGGAGTGGTATTCAAGCATGAATTAGATTTAAAACAGTCATTTATTACCTTTTGTGTTAAATTACAATCCTCATCAACCTGTTTCATTAGGAGCACTCAAGTATTTAACTAAGCAATTGTTCTTTATCTTGATAACTCGTTATCAAACTTTCTAATCAAAACTTGTGCGCTTGTGAGACTTACTTTTGGCTCAGTGTACTAGAAGTTGATGTTTTTCTAGACATGAATTGCAATTAGAGAAAATTGCAAGGATATATTAAAAGCTGTGAGAACTTTTTTATGGCAAAGGTCTGCTCATAAGTTTACACAACCCCTGTAGAATTTGCAAGAAGTTTATTTTTAAGTATTCATTACTTCAATGAGCTCATTGTTTCTGCCTTAAATTATTACATTGTTTAAATTAACACATTTTTAGCTAACTGTGATTTATGTACATTTCTGAAATGCATAACTAAGACAGTTACTTCTGATAACAGATCACTCTAAATTGAGAAATGAGGTGATGTGCAGTGTATATTATGAGAAATTTAAAGTTTTTTTTTTTTACCTTGGATGCATGCGTGTGTGTGTGTGTGTATATATATATATATATATATATATATACACACACACACAACAGATATAAAACTTGTCTTGTATTGCTCTGTGGAATATACTTTCGAAAAAATGTTCAAGGAGGCAACACATGATATTACGATCAAAGGGGATGTAATAAACCTTTGTACGGGACCATTTGTGTCATTTCATTTATTTTGCTTTGTGTGATATGCTTAAATATCAGTTATGCTGATTTTTCAAGGAATAAATAAATACATAAATAAATAATGTATATATATATATATATATATATATATATATTTTTTTTTTTTTTTTAAGATGCTGAAGATCTAACAAATTCTGAAAAGAGGGTATGTAAACAGAAACACAACATGATAAAACAGGAGTGATAGGATGCACAATCTGCTATTTTAAACAAGACCTTAATTTCATTAATAAGCTAAAGGAATGTGATGAATGCAAATAATTGTGCCTATGGCCTGCTGTTGTTGTTTGATCAGTAATCCATGGCATCATGTATCCTCTTGTAGTCATCTTAAAGTATGTTCTTCAAAGACAGGAGCACAGAGGAAAAGAAAGAAAGCTGTACAGAAAGAGAGAGAAAGTGAAATAATATCACGCGCATCCATCTATTCCCCCCTCCTGTGTTCATTCACACATAAACACATGCACACACAAACTCACACACACATCAAACACGGAGCAGCAAGCAAATCCACCCCGAGCAGGCCGAGATAAGCCACCCAGCAAACAGGAGGCTAATAATAATTCTAGCAGATAAATTGTAAGGGGCTATTAAAAGCCTCCACGACAGCCATGACTATCTGTGTACAAGCTGCGGCAGCAGTCATCAGTGTGTATGTCCTCATTAGCACTCGCTGCCCGCTGCATTTATCTTGTTCCAGCCAGACTCCAAACAGCTTAAGCCTCTCTTAATTGGAAAACTTTTAAATTTCATGCACTTCAGTTTCATACATTACCAGAGGCCCACGCTGATTCACGTTCTTTATTTAACCGCTTTGTGTCGGAGCCTAAGTGTCATCACATCCAAAGGGAATTGTTTTGCGTTTGTCTCTTGTGTGGCAAAAGAAGGACAAAGTAGTTAAAATGTGTCCTGTTTACAAGAAGGTCAATGACTAATAACTGTCCAAGATGATGATTAAGTGTACAAACTTTATCCATCACTCATTTTTGAAATATGAAGATCATAATGTTTTCTTAGTTACTCCATATGACTAATCTTTCCTTTATTTATTAATATTTTGCATCAGCTTTTCGATTATCCTTTCAATTTCAACTTATTTTATTTCAGTTAATTGCCAAGACAACATTTGTAAAAAAAAATTATATCAATCATTACGATTTTATTACTAAAAATATTTTTCATAGTTTTAGTTTAGTTAACAAAAACAACCCTGTCGCAATTTTACTTTATTTTTAATGTGTTAGACACAAAAAAAGTAGAATCATGTCATTGCCCCAAAAATCCTTTCTTGAAAAGGCAAGTAAAAAGCCATGAATACGGATGTGGTCTCATACTCTTTTATGAGAAAAAGACATACAGTAAGTCCAGAGGAGGCTGTGTGAAAATGAAATTGTCAGATGAGGGTATGTTGAGTGAAGAGAGGAGACCTTGTTGTCTTGAGGAAGCTAATAATTCAGCGGCCTACGCTTCAGTCTCCCACATTCTGATGGAAAACGCTGGAATATTCCCAACAGCATCATGTGGCTCTCAACAGCAGCTGTGGCATGCCGGGATGGAGTTCCCATTCATCTGGCGACAGGCCACTGTATCTTACACACACACACATTTCCTCATGTGTCCTTGTATGAGTTCTCACGGTCTTCTAGTTTCACAGAATTCTGTGGTATTCTCTCATATAGCCCTGTGTTCATAACATTGGCCCTTACGGCCAGGTGCGTTACGGCACACCAGCATCAGCGTCCAACAGAAACAGCTGAAGTAGGATGGGATCTACCCTTTTTAAGTGGTTGTGTAGTTATCTCAGGCCGACCCAGGTGTGCTGTAATACCTCACCCACTTCCGACCGCTGGCTGGTGTGCTGCGGTGTGTATGTGTGTGAGGCATAAAAATGAGAGTTTCACTCATACGAGTGTTGACAGACTGGATAAAATACGGAGGTGTGAATGGGACTCATAAATACTGTTTGCAAACAGATCTGTGGCCACATACATACATTTAATATAAAACACTCTTTTATAAAACAGCACAGGGATGTTTCCTTGCAGTACACAAAGAAATGTCGACAAGTATTAAATTTAGTTTAGAGATGCACAAAATTATTATTGTTAGATTAAACCTAATTTAGGAGGCTGGTGTTTGTCGATACTACTATGGAAACTTTTTTATTTTAGCGTTATTTTTTATTATTGTTATTCATTTAGTGTTTTATTTTATTTATTTATTTCGACAAAATAGTATAGAATTTTAATATCGGCGTTTAGTAGCTTATCACCCATGACACTATGTCATCCCAAATTTTATTTAGATTGACTATTTTCTTGACTTCAGGACATTGCATTTCGATTGCTTTTCCAATTTAACATGAACAAGTGAATTTTAATTCGAGAGTATTCTAAATATTGTTACACCAGAAGTTATCGCTTTACCAACATGGCTAAAAAACATGGTACTACTATGGCACTTTTGGATATTTCAGAACCTTAGATAAAAATCACTGACTTATTTATGCATGCAATGGAATGTAGTGAAGAGTGAAACAGTTCAAGTTGGCCAGCGGGCTGACGATATTCAGCTCCAGGGCTAGTGAGCTGGCACTGATTATTTCAGGCCAGGCGCCCCGCGCAGCTGAGGCCGCCAGCACCTCTACTCTGTGCCAGGTGATGCCATCCGCTCAGCCAGGCACCAGGGAGCCAAGCAGTGCCCACAGCAGGTGGTCGAGCGCCCGCTGCCTCCCCAAGCTGGCAGGCAACATCCCAGCAAACCAACTGGCCACCGCGTGGAGAACAGCAGATTGACGGTGCTGCCAACATGGACCCCAAGACAGCCCAAACCTCAGCCTCAACCTGCTCTCCAGAGCCTCATACAGCACTCACAAATGAGACCAGCGCTAAAGAACGATGGAAGATGAAAAAGAAGAATGTGTGTGCGTTTCGGCGGGTTGAGTGAGGGATGGTCATAGATGGAAAGGCACCTGCCAAGCATGCACAGCCAGAGAAAATGGCCTGTGGAAAAACAAGTGGTAAAAGTATGAGTCAACTCAACAAAAAAAACAAAGCCAAGGAGGCATTCCACAGAGCCAGAACAAAACTCAAGTGTGGAGCTCAGGGGTCCATTAGTCACATTATGAACCAGAACAAACAAATCGGCGTCCACGTTCCTCAGAAACGTGCCAAGCCAATGACCAAATCTGCATGCAATAAACTACATTTCTGACAGAATGAGGGGACGTTGCTTTCAGCAGTAAACAAATGTTTTAAGCAATGAGATCATAGGCTTCACACATACCTGTGGAAAGACATTTAGTAGGTCCCAAATGAAGATTTAGACGTTAAGACGTTTTTTGTTTTAAAACATGCACATGGAATTCATCATTTCCTCAGATTTAGGCTGTCTACATTAATATGGATACATTTGAAAATGGAGTGACTCCCCATCCACACTAGCATTTTCAGGCGTTTTCCAAAAGTTGCTCATCCACACTGAAAATGCTTAATATCCCCTTACTGCACATCCGTAAAACATAACAAAAGCTCACGAGATGATACAGAGAGAGCAGACATAATAAAGTTCTCGCGCTATTCTTCTGGCCCGATCGTTTTATGAGCACTCACTGTTGCATCCAGGTTGGACACAAAATTGTACGGTCTAAATTAAAACATAATTGTCAGGATGTTTTTCTGTCATCTATGCAGGAATGCAATATGAAGGTTCTACAAAGGAACATTTCTCTTTAGCAACACTATGAAAGTAAATAGCAGACACAACAAAACCGGTATAACCATGCGTCACATGACAAAACATCATTTTCAAATACCTTTACAGTCTATCCTGGGTTTTCCCATACTGACTTTGCGCAGCACGATTTTATTCACGCTGCTAGGCAGTCTGGATACCATGGACCAAATTTTCGCCTCAGCGAGGGGACCAATCACAGAACGGGGAGGGAGCAGCAAGACGATGATGACGTCTATGCGACACACCGAAGCAGTTTGACACACCGAAGCAGTTTGTTTATACCTATGGATCAAACATGGCAGCAGACATGAAGTTACCTTTCGATGCAGCCTTGGATATTGTTCCAAGTAGTTTAAAACGCAAATAAATCTCTGACCCATCGTCTTCATCCTCGTATAATTTCTTTCGCTCTACATACGTCATCTTAGCCTGGTTAAAACCAGACCATTCTCAGTTGTAACTGAGTTATGGTCTGGCAAACCGTCATAGACAAATCATTTCCAGAGGGGCGTCACCAACGGACGTCGCGGATAGACCTAAAACCAGTCAGAGCGATGAAGGAGATGGCGTATGCAGAGCGGCAGAAACATCTCCGAGTGTTGTTCTTTGCTCGGTTTTTAACAAAAAGGAAACGTTCAAATCGCTTAAAACAGACGCGATAGCTGATTCGAACGAGTGATGTTCGACGGTGGCATCCATTTTTGTAATCTAGGCTACAAAATCTGCTTCAAAATCCCAGCGCTGACGTCATCGTGTAAAGCCCACCCCAACGTTTCTGATTGGTGCCTCGATTTCGGCGGATTGGAAATGAGCTTGAATGAGCTCTTTGCCAGACTAACTTTCAGAGCAAATCTAAATTTGCCGGAAGTAGTCTGGGTTTTCCCAGGCTAACGTCATCTGGTATAATTGAAACGATTGGCTATGAGCTACGTACAGGCGCATTTGATAGACATTCGTAGCACCCAATATACGGCTCTGGCCATTCGTAAACCACGCCTCAAATACGAGAAAATGAACATGTGGTTCCCAGACCACGTCTCAATGTCAATGAGACGTGGTCTGACGTTAGCCAGGCTATTCACAGTACACACTACAATGCGAAATTGCTGTTTTCAAATTCATGTGGACGGAAGGTCAAAACGGAGAGTAAAATATGCGTTTCCAAATGAAAACGTATTAGTGTGGACAAGGCCTTAAGCCTCAGTAATTGGATGAAAGACTAATGAGACTTAGAAGAATTGTAATGAGGGCTTGGCTTTTTTACAATAACAATTGAGTTGCTAAGACCAGTTAATCTTCAGCCTTCACATTTGATTTCTTCATACCAAACTAAAACCAATACAAGCAAATGCCACGTTTTAAGTTGTATTCAGCTATGTCCAGACGTGCCCCAGTGTTTCTACATTGTTCAGTCCACTGTGAAAATATTGCAGCTTATGAATTATGAATTAGTTTCAGATCATTGTTGTCAGTGAGAAGTCTTAGAAACTAGCTATTTTGGCTACAATGCTCAATATGGATCTCTGGATTCTGAGAGAACTGATAAAACCTATTGCACCACAAATTCTCATGGCAAAAAGCAAACAAAAATAATCTCCCAGCCAAACGTAACAGGGATGAAGAGAGAATATATACAGAGAATTCTAAAGCAGTAGTTTTAATGAATTCTCTTAACAATAAAATCTACATAAAAAATACGGGCATTAATCAATTTATTATAATTTTTGTGTAAAATTAAAGGAAAAATATCTAGAAATTATATATATATATTTTTTACATTTACTAGAGAAATCATGACTGGCCTTTGCTCATGCAAAACTCAGTATTTCTATATGGTTGCTAAGATGTTCTGAAACCAATAGTTCACCCAAAAATTCTGTAATAATTTTCTGACTCTCATGTTCCAAACCTGGATGAATTAATTTATACTGTGAAACTCAGGAGAAGATATTTTGAAGAATGTTGGTAACCAGTCTTGGTGACTATTAAGATTTTTATTTTTCTTCATTTTTCAAAATATCTTTTATGTTCCAAAATAAATAAATTTGTTTCATCAATACAGGTTTGGAACGACATGAGGGTGAGTAAAAGATAACAGAATTTTTGTTTTTGGGTGTAATGGTCCTTTAATGGCCCAAGCTAGGTCTCTTTGGCTACATTCAAACTGTCAGTCCAAATCCGATTTTTGTGCAGATCCGATTGAAATCCGATCAGATTTAGCAAGTGTGAATGGCAAAAAAAACATCACATGTGATGTCAATCATTTTAGATTAGATTCCAATCTGTTTCACAAATAATCAGATTTAGACTGACAGTGAACATACCCTTTGAGGTTCTGGTCTTTAGACAAGTTTCACCTTCAAGGCTAGTTTTAACCGTTTTTAACCTTTTTTATGAAATTGCAAATAAAAGTCAGGTATAGTATTTGAGGTCTCATGTCCATATTGCAGACATCCAGTTCAGATTAGGAGCAGTATGAGCAACAGTGAGTTACATATGCTTGACCAAACCAGTGCCACTAATAAATGGAAATCACACAAAGACAGTGAATAAAAAGGCTTTTCCCCTCAAACTCTGGATTGTTATTCTGGAGTGACAGCTGAGGGAAAAAGAAAAACAGAAAGAAAGCAATGGAGATGGAAAGGGAGAAAGAGAGCTAGTCCTCTGAGAGTCAAACGACTCTTCTCTGCCTCATCAATATGGAGACTGCTTGAGTTGCTCTCAGGTTGGAGAGGTGTGATGAATAATGCGTGTGTGTGTGGGGTTTGGCAGATGGGGGAGAGAGGGATCAGTTGGGATAGAGGGGGAGGTAATGAGAATGAAAGACAGCCATCTCACCCTGATTCCCGGAGCACTCCTCTTCGCCTCTGCCTTCAGCCGAGTGGCTCGCAGCGCCGGCTTGTTTTTCTTGTAATCCTGTTTTCCTGAGAGAGAAAACGAGGCGCACGGGTCATTTCTACCATGTGACAATTGGAGTTACATTTGCATTTTGAGTTAGGCTGAAAGCTTTTTTCATTTAACAGCTAAATAATGTTTTAATAAAACAAATATAATGCATTTGCAATCGTCTTCATCAATGTTCTATTATGAATCATTAAACTAATGGATTTTGCTGAAACATTCTTAGTTGGCTTTAATGTATTTGCCTGTTTTACCCCTTATTAACACGCCTTAATATGAGGCTGTTAACCTTCTGTACCAACTTATATAAGACAAATTAGCATTTAATTTATGCAGGGCTGCATTAGACTTGATTTATCGTAAATATATATACAAAGACGGACTATCGTAAACTCTTTTTTTATTCCACATTAATTACTGGATCAGACATGGCAAGAGTTAAGACATTTCAAAAAAATTGTTTTGATTAAAAATGGCCCAAAATGTTATTTTTTCCCCTGATGGTAACCATTTCTTCATTATATGCACTATAAAGAGATCATGTGACAAGAATGTGTTTACTGTGGTATAAGGGTCAATGACGTGACACTATTTTTTTTGTCCTATCAATTATTAATTTCTTCCAAAATACAATAAAAATGCCTTTCACACATACAATGACACACACCTCTTATATTATGAGCATGTTTTTAATTTCAGAAATAAAAACAAGTCTGCTATTGTAATGGAGAAAAAAATTCATTAAAAGGATTAAATGAAAAACCTGAAATTCAAAAGAAAACCTAGTTTGGCATAATTTCTTAGAATGATTAATTCATGAAAAAAAAGAAGAAATAATCTTAACAAATCTGCTTCATTGCTTATTAATATTTGAACAAAAGTCTGCCAAACCAAGGTCATTTGGTGTAACCAACATGCAGAAACTATTTATAATATTGATAATAATAATTAATTAATATTAAAAAGAAAAGAACACTAGAATACACTTAAATATAAAGATTAAGATGTGTACTACACTTACATGTATTTGTTGTAAGGAAATGTAATTAAATGTAATTTAACAAAAATGTCATGTAACCAGTTATTGTAACCAGTAACATTTTTAAGAACTTGTGTGCTTTAAAAGATGATTCCTTTTCTTTATCTTTGTCATTTATCTGTAAATAAATACGGTTTCCCCACCCTATTTTTAACAAGGTAGTATGCAGTATACAGAGCATATGCAGTAAGCAGTGGTAGTACTCCATTGTGTTAACACAGACAGAAAATGATGAGCGCACTAGTTCACCTCAGTGGCAGTTATCATCAGGCAATCTCACTGCAACGAACCCGCCAGGCAAAGCGGCCACCTGGAGCGTATGTGTGCAAGGTGTGTGAGGAGCGCCGTGTCTCTAATTAGAAACAAACAGACGAAGGAAAAGAAGCAAAAAATGGGAAGGCAACAGCTTGGTGGGAAAAGGAGGGGGCCGTCCTGCGGGCTGCGGCAGACCCGGGTCAGACTCAAGGTCTCCGTGAGAGCTGTTGACACACAGGGGCCGTTTCAAGTGCAACTCCTGCCTCATTAAGACTTATTTACATGGAGTGGGGGAAAGAGAGAGTGTCCTTATCCATCTTCAGACTGCAGATTGCCGGGCTGGACACTCTCAGATGCCGAAGCTAGACACTGACCCCTCCCCGGGGACATTTGCAGGTCTCTCCTGCCTTATGGTGCACCTTCTGTGTGCGTCGCGGGCCTGCAAGAGGCCATTATCAGAGGTAAACATCCTGCTATTTTGTTCCAGAGCTGAATGATGGGATATGAAGCTTGGTTCACACACTGAGCTGTTAAATAATGAACATTGTTTTTGTTTGCAGAGACTTCTGGAATAGTTCTCAGTTTGGTCTCCATGGGACGGGACTGCAGGGCATCAATGCCAAACATTCGTGCAAAAGTCCAGCATTAAACAACTTTACTGACCAATCCTATCTTAGCAACTGTTGCTGTTTGTCAAATTATCAGGCAAGCTTTCTTTTGTAATATACGTCTATTAGGGCATGAGACGGGACCCCAAATTAGGGCTACCGGTACCATTTTGAGGGATTAAATTTTTTTTTTGATTTTCATGAAGGTACACATCTCTAGTGTTGGAAAATGTGTGATACCATCCGATCCATGGTAGCTTTCATTAGAAATCAACACTTATATCATCCTAACTCAAGGTAAGGTGTTCAGTGACTACAAGAGAGAAAAATTGATCCTTTTATAATTTTAAAAATTTATTAAAAAAATTATCTTTTTTTTATTATAAGATTTTTATAAAATTTGTATAAAATGTAAAAATTATTTAAAGATAAATTCATTCATCCTTTTTCTTGACATATGTTTGAAAATCGTCCTCCGTAACCAAAAACTACCTTGAAACTAATGCTATCACACATTTTTCAAATACAGGGTCATATACCTGCACAAAAATCACCATGCGGTTTAATCCCTCAAAATGGTACCAATCCACCCTCTGTCTCACGGCCTATATGGAAGATCTTATGTTTGGATAATTTTTAATGAAATTTAACAGGTGTTATCACTTGAAAAGTGCATGCTGTGGAATACTCTTTGTATCAAAAGAAGCTTCAAAGTAAATCTACCAATATTGGCTTTAAATGATCAATATGAAAAATAATTTTTTTTAAACAGATTTTTTTTCTATTCCTTTATTTCTGACAAATAAATATCCATTAATCTACAATAAATAAAAATCTTATCTTTATCTTTGTTTCGAAGAATGTCTAATTGTGAAGATGCACACATTCATGCACACTAATTGTTAAGATGCTCACATTCATTTGAGAATAGTAAGTTTAGCACACATAACAGTACATTAAAGAGGTTACTTGACTTTTGAATACGGTTGTTGGGTATTTTTACTTTTGAGGTCCACTAAATGGTGCCATTTAATGGTAGAACCAATATATTAAAAAAAATATATAACCAATTAACAAAATGAGTAAAAAAAACACACATAAATATCCATTAGCAGCAATAGTAGCCAGGGGGCGGAGCTTAGAGAAGTGTGAATCCTAGCTTATGGGTTTAAAAAAAAAAAGAAGAAAGCATTTTCAATTTCAACCTGCCTCAGCATGTACAGCAAAAAGGGAATTATGTCAGCTTCAAAACACTCCTCCAACATATGACAACTGTCTCTACCTCTCTCAGAGTCTACAGTATTTTACGCTTGCACCTGAGGAGGATTTTACACGGTGTGGAAAGCAAAACTCGTTTTGTTCCAAGCCAACTGGGACAGATTAGGTGTGCGTCTTATTTTTCTTGAAACTTCCTGTTGTGGTGTAAATACCCACAACAAACAGCCTCAGCCATCTGTTCCAAATGAATAGTTAATTGTAATCATATCAGAGTTTGAAATAAATTGTTTATATAGCGAGACTTTGTGGCCCTGCCAGTACGCTGAATCACGCGCTATCGAGTTCAATGAGGCGTTTCTCTCTGCGTGAGGACTCGATGATTATGACGACTCGCTGGCCTCCTTGGCTCTGCCGCCTCACTGCTGTTGAGCTCAAATTGGCCCGCGATACAGAGGCGGGCGTTGAACGCACCTTCACTCATTAATCACCATTCAACTGCATCGCTGCAGAGCGAAACCTCCCCCCACTCGTTTTCCAAAAGCGGAGTGGAGGCTCTCTAATTTAATGTGTCACTGTTTCCTGTGGACTTGAGCGGTATGACCCCTCCGTACACACTGTGCTGTCAGATGTTGACAAGGACGTGACAAGAATCAACCCACGGGGCCAAGGGTGCCTTTCAAAAGTGCTGCAGCCGATTTAATTTCAAAAGCCATGACTCCCCATCCACAAACAGAATCCCCTTCCATCGGCCTGGTGCTTTTCTAACGGGATATAGCGAATACACAAATCACATTTCATTATGGGAGAAAACAAGCTCTATGGAGAGTGGAGAAAAGCATTCTGCAATTATTCCTGTTATAAAATTGCAAGAAAGCTCTGATAAACCCACTGCCCAATTTTGCCAACAAACAGATAAAGAACTTGATGAAGAAATTGTAAGGGTCTGATCAACAAATCTGAATTTTTGGCTTATTTCTTTTTGCAACAAAACTCTCTATAAACTTCTTCACATTCGACCTTCATATTACACATGAAGAATACACAGATGAGCCAAAACATTAGGACCACCTGGCTTACATGCTGTTGCTGCCAAAACAGCTCTGACTACAAGAGCCCTGAAGGTGTCCTGTGGTATCTGGCACCAAGACATTAGCAGCATATCCTTCAAGTCCTGTAGGTTATGAGGTGGAGTCGCCGTGGATCGAACTTGTTGGTCCAGCACATCCCAGATGCTCAATTGGATTGAGATCTGGGGAATTTGGAGACCAGGGCAACACCTTGAACTCTTCATCATGTTCCTCAAACCATTCCTGAACAATGTGTGCCGTGTGGCAGGGTGCATTATCCTGTTGAAAGAGGCCACTTCTACCAGGGAACACCATTGTAATGAAGGGGTGTACCTGGTCGGCAACATTGTTTAGGTAGGTGGCATGTGTCAAAATGACGTCCACATGAATGGCCGGACCCAGGGTTTCCCAGCAGAACATTGCCCAGAGCATCACACTCCCTCCACAGGCTTGTCATCGTCCCGCAGTGCATCCTGGTGCCATCACTTCCCTAGATAAACGGCACACACGTGATGTAAAAGAAAACGGGACTCATGGGACCAGGTGATTGCACTGTGTGTTGTGACACATTCCTCCCATAACTATCATTAAAATGTTGTGTGACTTGTGCCACAGTAGACCTTCTTTTGGCTCGGACCAGATGGGAGCCTTCGTTCCCCTTGTGCATCGATGTGACCCTGTCGTTGGTTTGTGGTTTGTCCCTGTTCGGGCCACGGTTGGTAAATTCTCACCACTACAGACCAGGAGAAACCCACAAGCCTTGCCGATTCAGAGATACTCTAACCCAGTCGCCTTGCCATAACAATTTGGCCCTTGTCAAAGTCACTCAGATCTTTATTCCTGCCCATTTCTCCTGCATCCAACACATTGACTACAATAACTGATTGTTTGTTTACCATCTAATCTAACAGATAATCTAAGATATGTGGCCTTGTTAGGAGACGATCAACAATATTGACTTCACCTGTGACAAGTCATAAAGTTTTGGCTCTTCAGTCTATATTTCTGTGTTAATTAAATTCTGCATTTAATTAATTGGCACAAAATATGAGTGAAATTATGAGCAGATTAATACTGAAATTTGTTGTGATTATGTTTCATGAAGGCTTATTATTTCACAAAATATCACACTGCCAAACTGTTAGATTTAATTAAATATTACATTTTACAGGCCACCACATGCAAAAGTTTAAGAATCTGTCATCGAAAACCCCATATTGAATAACTACTAATCTGAACATTGGAGAGACGTGTCTCCTTCGATGTGTATACTGAAAACGTTTTTTTTTATTTTTAAATCAGTGTAATAAATAAATACAAAAATACCTAATCTAAATAATAAGAAAAAAAATATTAAAACTACAAAAACAAAAGAAAAATGTTGTATATATTTTCATGCCAAACACTTTCGATTTAGTGTGAACAGGCCGTCATGTGCCAAACTTGAATCCAGCACTGACAAAGAACACAGAGTTCAAAAATAAAGAACTTTGTCTTTGTAAATAAAACAACTCATTCCACACAAAACAGAGACGCACTTTACCACAGTTGTTGTCTTCACACTGGGAGCGAGTGTAACCTTTGCACACAGGATGTGGCAAGTGTTGAACAAACAGCTAAAAGCACAGTGACATGATCGTGAAGGCCAGTGTCAGAACACACAGAAAACTGAGAAGATCTGTAACATGCAAGATCCATTCAGCCTTCACAGATATCAAGACCATATACAGATCAGTGCACATTCACACTAAAACGATCACAAACAGAGAGAGTTAATAGGCAGGGATGAGTCTGAGTGTTTGGTCATGCGAATAATTGTTGGACAAAGGCAGAAAGGATTGTGTGAATGATCTTGACTCAAGAGGGGGATGACCACACAGACCTGAGGAACCCTTTTGGTGGTTGACAGCTCTCTGGAGTCCATTATGCAGCTTAATAACAGTATTTAAAGTCACTGTGTCTACAGCAGCCCTACGAGGTACTTGACATCACAAAAGCTTTCTTCCTTTAAAAAAAAAGAAGAAGAAAGAAAGCAAGACCTGTCAAGATAGAAATTACCTTCCCATTACAATCTCAAATTACGATGTGTATTCTCCCTTTGTGTTGCTTTGCGCTATTTTGGGCTTTTTTTCTTTTTCTTTTTTTTTTGTTAAACAGCGATTCTCTGAAATAGGCTGATATAGACTTCTTTTCAAAGCAAACTGATGGAAAGAGTGGGAGGACTGGGGGGTGGGGGGTCTCAATTGTCCACAACCTGCTGTTACGACTTAGAATTGATGAGATGCAAAAGAAAGAAAACAAAATGGAATATGTCTGAGATTCGCAGGCTCCAGCAGGAGTTCAGCTTGTTATGTTGCCAGCACAGTCATGCAGCACAGGGACAATAAGGCAAGGTGACGGAGCAACGCAAGCTTAATAGTGCTACTAAAGGGTGCGATATGAACTCGCATAAAATCATGCGTATGAGACAGGTTCTTTCAGCGGGGAGATGAGGTTGGCGTGCACTGGGTTGTAAATTACATCAGTGATGTGCCAATGAAAAAAAGATACAATTTCAGTGCCATTACAAAAATAAGTCTCCATATCTCAACCCTAAAATGAAAATTAAGAACTTCCAGATGTACAATGGACGATACAACTGGACTAAAAGCTACTCCGAGTAAAAGTCCAAAAGGTCAGGTCACATTTACGGTTGTTTGGCGAAATTCTAAGGGCGAAATCCAGCCATTTCAAAAGGAATCAACACGACCTGTAATTTCACGCGAGGGCGAAAGATTTCCCCACGCAGATATCGCAATGGCTTCAAGTTGGCCGCATGAAAATCCAGTGAAAAATAAATATTTTAAAATGCAATTTTTCCAGTGATGGCAAAGCTGAATTTTCAAAAGTATTCAGTGTCACATGATCCTTCAGAATTCATTCTAATATGCTGATTTGGTGCTAAGGAAACATTTCTTATCAATGTTGAAAACAGTTGTGCTGCTTATTATTTTCTAGAAACCATGATATATATATATATATAGGATTCTTTGATGAATAGAAAGTTAACATTGACAGCAATTATTTGAAATAGAAATCTTTTGCAACATTATAAATGTCGCTTTTGATCAGGTTAATGCGTTCTTGCTAAATTAAAGTTAAAAAAAAATTTTTTAAATCTTACTGACCCCAAACTTTTGAACGGTAGTGTATTTTGATGAAAACACTAATGATTTTAATATTGTTCAAGCTGAAATTTTAAAAAAAATTCTAAATTCATGGTTTTTCAAAAACTAGGAAGATAGTAATTTAGCAGGGCTGCCAACTTTTGAGTTTAGCTTTGAGTGAGCATTTTGGAAGGAGGGGATATGGGGGGTGCAAGGTTTTTTGTTTTGTTTTTTACATCACAATAAATGTATTGTGATTGTCAAAACATTTGGTAACTAAACATTATTTTACTAGGTTTAGCGACAACATGTTACAATGTTTGCATGGTACAATGACTGGTAAGCTACTGTTTTTATTATTGCTTGACAAATTTCACGATTTCAATTATTGTAATTTGATTCCGATCTTGATTTAATATCGATTTATTTGGATACATATCAGGTACAGTAGATACATGTACATTTTTCTCAAGAAAAAAATCTCACCTAATGCTATACAGAGAGCACTGTCAGCTGGTATTATTATTAAAGGTTAAAAATAACAACTCAATTAAATATAATGTGGGTTTTATTATAATAATATTTTAATGAAATGCGTAAAAATACAATAAACATGTAATAGGCCTATAGTGCACATATTTAGGAAATTCTAGCCAACTAATGTGCTATTTATAGGCCATGCAAACCTATACAAATGTTTCATTCATTCATAAAACAAATGTCACATAACGTTACATTTACCTCAGGAAAGACATTTAATGGCCATAAATAGCACGTTAGTTGGCTAGAAAAATGTTTTATGAATGAATGAAGCATTTATATAGGCTTGCATATAGAAAATGGATGTGTGGCGTGAGAGAGTGTGAAAAGTGTCAATTGCGTGAGTCTCACGCTGAATGCGTGAGAGGTGGCAGCCCTGTATTTAAGGTAAAAGAGGCTAAATGTTCTCTGTGAAAACACCAAATGTAGCGAAACGAACAACGAAAACTCACTTGGTGTTTAATAGCGCATGATTTTTAATCAGAATAAACTACCATTTCATTTACCCAATGATGTTGCTCCATCAGTGAGTGTGTTTACATGCACAGCCAATGTGTAAACTCTCAGTGCCTTAAACTGTGTTATTTTAGCAGCTAAATTGGATTTGCTTTTGTGGAAATGACATTTATACAGCTTTGCTAGGTGTTTACAGCACTATTTCGCCTCATACAGCCCCTAGCATCCATACCGACTGTCTATGTTATTAAACAAACCCCATGTTCTTTCCGCTATCACAACTGACATGCTAACTGGTACTACCATAATTGATAGGTCATATTGTTTCCTCCTATAACTAATGCTAAATTAAGATTAAGCATAAGTCAGAGCAAAAGGAAGCTGAGAGACTTATAGCCTACTTTAGTAGCTAAATAAATATGAAAACTGTACAGTATAGGCTATGAGGTTGTTTATTTTGAGGTTTTCTTAGTCAAACTGTCCTGTTCCCAGCTGAACATTCTGATCATCAAGTGTGTTCATGCGTAAAATTCATAAGCAATATAATCACAGTGGCTGAAATGAAGGATAAAACGCATTTCAGACTCTCTTTAATAAAACACTGGATGAATATTTGATGAAGGTTATACTAACATCCATATTAAAAAATAAAGACTACACAAAGAACAGAGGTTCTCACCGATCTGTTTACGGTACTGGTCGACCGGCTGCTTGACAGAACTTGCATCCTTTTTCCCCATCCTTCATTCACCTGAGAGAGAAACAGCATGAAAAATACACCAAGTATGAGGAAAGAGTAAGTAAAAGCAGTGAACAGTGAGAGCTCTGTCTGTTTGCTTACAGAAATCAAATATAAAATGCTACTGCAGTCCTCAAGTAAAGATTTGCTATGGTTACTCATGACTCAAAATTCCAAAGGACAGTACTTTTGCTTTACATGGATATGAATGAATGGATAAACACTGCTTAGCAATAAATCAGCGAAGACAGTTATTCTAAACTGGTAAAAAAGGTTCTATATAAGGAGAAATGATTGCATAATACTTTTATGATTAACAAGTTACTTTTTTTTTCTAGTGCTAAAGTATGTTTACAAGCTGTTTAACTGCATAATCACAATAAACATTTAACTTAATTAAAACTGAATTCATAAAATGATCCCATGGGAATCCCTAAAAGGTTCTATATATGAGCGTCTGACAAAACCCTTTAACATCCTATACAGAAAAAATGGTTGTCGTTCAATGTAAAATCTCACTCTTACAGAAGAAAAGGTCTTCTATAAGAGTGAAATTTTACATTAAACGGCAAAGCAACACTATAAAAATGGTCCATTGTACAGAAAGAAAAGTCCTTGATAATTATTAATATTACCACAAACTGCATAATAAAATATTCACAATTTTTCATAATGACATATCATGCGAAGCTGACTAAGAAAACTGACAATTTTGTAAATGATTTTGTAATATTTTTTCTCACAGATTTGAGGATGAGAACATGCCAGTAAACCTTTGACATTCAGCAGATTTCCCCCCTGCTGTTCTCCTTTTTTTCAGGTTGTGACCCACCAGTTGCGGACCACAGCCTTGCACTTACACTTTCAGAGTTCAGAATCACATCCTAAATTGCCGCAAAAGTCATGGGTGATTGTGTAAGACGGAAAGCATCTTGAAGTTAGAAAGAGGAATTTGATGTGAGGCACATCCCCAGAGGTGGCAAGGGACTTCAAGGAATTCAATCATGCGAAGGTCGATCCGAGACATAGTCTATTTGAAAGTCTTTCCATGCCTGCAAGTCACCCTTACTAGAGTTGAATTGCTCTGAATTTCGTTGAATCAGTTGTGGGTAGAAAATAATTTGTGTTACATTTAGATAATAAATGATTCAAACTTTGGGTCAATTAAATATTTTTAAAATCTAGTTTAAAGCACATGTGCCAAGATCTCAGAAAAATACTATTTGTTATTAAAGTTAGTTTCATATGGTTTTGAAAAATGATTTTCAAGTAAAACATTTTTTTTTAAGACTCAGTAATGATAGAAATGCCATGTAGTGTAACCAATAACCATCAAGTAAAAATAAGAGGAAATCCTTACGCAATATTTTCCAAAATCATTTTAAATATAATTTTTCAAGGTTTTTTTTTATATGAATATCATTAATTATTAATTCATAAATATCAGTTTTTAGTTGAGTCGCAACATAAAGCCATTTTACAGCCTGAAGTAGTCTTGCATTGTCATTATATATATATATATCTGTAAAAAAAACTTCATAAATTAAAACATTTAAATTACAAAGTACATTTAAATTACTGCATGTATGAATTTAATTAACGTATTTTCAAATAAATGAAAAGATCTGAAGGGTGAAGAGATGTCATGTCATTGGCTGATTTACAACAATTTAAAAATAAGACCAAAATCATTATGTACTAGTATCTGAATGTGTCGCATAATTCAATGCAGTGTTAAAGTGAGTTTAACTGTAAAGATTGTCCATTTATATTAAAGGAGCATGCACTCCATCTCATTTTACACTACTCTGACTTTCCCGATAGAGATCTCAGATTGATTTCCATAGCAACTGAAATGAAAAAGACCGGAGGAGAAAAGAAAGGCACCTTATCTTGTGATGCATGTTATAATGGTTAGTTCGGAAGGCAAGGAATTTTGAAATTGGTAATGGGTTAAGTGCATTAAAGCATTTGCCATACTTGCAGTCTCATAAGCTGTTTTTATTGTGAGGCGGTCAGGGAGCGCTTTATCAAAATTCTACGCCTCTCACAATACTATTTGCAATCAATACGGCTTCTACTGTTAAAGACTGAGAAAAAAGGGTGCATGAGCCAAAGGGCAGGTCTTTGTTTCTGATGATGTTTAAACCTCCCTGACCTATCCTCTCCCAGAGAAATCGAGCCGTAGACCTTCGACCTGATCCATTTTGGCTCATAAGCCGGAGATCTCCTGAGGAAAGGTGTGCAGTCTCTGTGCTAAGAGCCCAGACTGATTAGCATGGAAAACAGAGAAGAGCTGGAGGAAGTGCAGAGGTGCATGAAAGAAGAGAATTATGAGGCTGTTTTCATCCTCTCTTGAGGCATGACTGTGTGAGCTAAAACCTTTAAAATTAGTTCAAGGGTCGACTCGGCATCCTACGTTTGATGTCTTTAATCTTTACTTTAAGTTGATGTAATTAAAATGGCTCCACATGCAACAACAAAGTGGGAGAAACAGGAATGGATTACTTTTCTAAAGATGCCAGAGGAAGAGGACCATTACTGTGTTTACACAACATGGTTTGAGTCAAGCCCAGGGGCATGACCTACAATTCTACAATGACCAAACACTTCCTTTGTAATGAATGTGACCACTAAAGGAAGTTGACATGGGCTGTTAAGTGGCAAACATGCCAATCTTCTAGAAAATTCTTAATTCTGCCTATGGCCTTAGGCTTTGTAAAACGGGGATGATTCAATGCAGTGATCAGGAAGTTGTAGGGTCACACAGTGTGCAATTTGAACAAATCAGACTTTGATACAGACCTCACAAGACAGTCCAGCCAACAGACACGCAACACTATTAATGACATGATGCTTACAGAATATTTAGAAAAATGTATGACACAAAGCTTGCAAATCCCAAAGATAACTTTCTCCAAATTGCAGACAACACAGAAAGTTGGGTGAGCTGTGGTCTGGTCGTTCCACAAATAGATGGATAGCCAAGGGCTATGTGTACCAGCGCTTTGAAGACTCAAATTGAGACCAGGGGCCTATGCTTTTCCAGAAGCTAAACTACAAAGGTTTGGGTTTGAAAGAGATTTAAGATTAAATTAAGCACCTAGGGCATTCCTGAACTGAATTCGTCTTATATACAACAATTTAAATATAACAGAATAGTATTACGAATGTGAGTATAGTATTAACGTTACATGGAATGTGAGTTAATTTCAGTGATGCGAATGTCAATGTGGCATACAATAGGCATATTGGCACAAATGCAATGCAACCAATCAGTATTAGAACAAAGCATCTATTTAGAGAGAGTCATGTAGTGGACTCAGGACTCATCTGAATGCCACGTAAGGCAATTGAATTGCATCAGATCTACTCTGTTTCCAGTTTTCATCCTGCGTATCATGTAGCTCCTGCACTCTGACCTGAAGCGAAGACAGTCTGAGGAAATATCCAATCACAACACAGAAACAGAGAGGTTTGACCAATCACAAACTGTGATGGGGCGGGCGCTAAAGCAAACACGAATGTTTGGATTCTTTAGGGAAATGTAAAGCGCGAAAGATCGCTAAAAATTATGCTTATTGGTTTCCCTGGTCGTTAACAGATATACAACGCAAGGTACATTTCTTAGCAGTGTAAAACGAGAGCATTATGTCTGAGGACACAGACTTACCACTTAAAAGACGGGAAGAATCCTCTCTGTAGTTCCTGGTTCAGCTTTGTGTTTTTCAAATGGATGCGTGATTCAGCCAATCGCGACGTGATCCCTTCAAATAAACGCCGATACGTCATTAGGTGGGCGGACCCACATAGCACATCTTCAAACACAAGCTGTCAAATGCATTGAAGGAAAAGACTGAGCACACATACACACACATAAAATAACAACTTTATACATGGACTGTATATGTACAAATTTTTTTAAATGTAGGCTTTATTTAAATATGTTTTTCACGGGCTTATGTAACTTAAGATAAAAAAGCATAAACTGCAACCCTTTGTGCCAAGAAACACCATTTCGTCTCCTTTTAAAATGTAAATTAGCCTTCAGTTTCAAAAATTCTTTTGTGTTGTGTGATGTACATGCAAATAAAATTGAACAAATTACTTTTCTTTATTTCTTTAGCACACACATTTTTAATCACTGAACAAATTTCTCTTTTTTCTTTTTACCAATAGAAGCAGAAAGTATTTATTATTAGTAGTAGTGTTACTTCTAGTTATTTTTGGGTGTAAATTAGTCAGTTATAAAACATAATCAAAAGTGGGGTAATTTCAGTAGCCTTTATATTATCTGAACTAAAAAATTGGCTTGTGTGGCCTCCTGTGTATGACATTTTTAATAGTATACTTCAGACAAACATGAATACTTAGAACAAATTTGCCATTTAGTCCCTCAAGCAGTACAAATTCATAAGATATGCATAACAAAATGCAAACAATTAGCAAAATCTTAGTCAAATTTCCAAAGGTATGTAAGGTAAAAGACTTCTTATTAATGTGACAACTTTTAAAGTTGATATATAGTTGTCACATTAATAAGAAGTCTTTTACCTTACATACCTTTGGAAATTTGACTAAGATTTTGCTAATTGTTTGCATTTTGTTATGCATATCTTATGAATTTGTACTGCTTGAGGGACTAAATGGCAAATTTGTTCTAAGTATTCATGTTTGTCTGAAGTATACTATTAAAAATGTCATACACAGGAGGCCACACAAGCCAATTTTTTAGTTCAGATAATATAAAGGCTACTGAAATTACCCCACTTTTGATTATGTTCAAAAGTGGGGTACACTTTTGAACATAAGCAACAAACGTCAGTTCTTATAAAAACTTTGTGAACATAAAACATGTCAATTGTGCATGTGAATGTAAACTCAGTGATATATATATATATATATATATATATATATATATATATATATATATATATATATATATATATATATATATATATATATCACTGAGTTTACATTCACATGCACAATTGACATGTTTTATGTTCACAAAGTTTTTATAAGAACTGACGTTTGTTGCTTGCATGCACCACATTAATAAACCACGTATAGGTTCTCAGCGAGAAGGGTAATTTACCTTAACAATCCCACATGTTTGTGCCGCGAGATCTTTACACAATGCTTTGATACGCACAATGTGAAATGTCTGAATGAAAGAAAAAGCGAAAGGGAGACAGCAAGAGACCAACTTGTTTTCTCTACTCTCTCCCCTTTTTTGTTTTATTTAAGGCTAATTTCCATTTCTTTTGTTTGTGTTGAATTTTGTCTGCATAATTGCATCGAGTCTTATTGCTGCCTGGGGCAGTGTGGATTATGGAGAGGCTTGCCACTGCTTGTAACTTATTGAAGTTTAAAATGATTTTCTGCTCTCCTATGGGCAGCTGATTTGAGAGCAGCGCAGCGGTAACTAATAGATCTAATCTGCTTATAATGAGCCTGCATAACATATTATTTACTCAGCAGAGAACACAGATATACAGAGCAGTTATGCACCACTTTGATAAAGCGACACAAGTGGAAGTGGATGAAGCTGATGACCTGCTCTGTCCTTTGAACCATTCTTGGTGCAAACTGATTCAATAGCCAAAGGGGCTTTTTAGAGAAATATGTCAATGTTGTTTCTTCTACAACATATAACATGTAGCTTTTCTCATAGCACAAGGACTCTGGGCAAAAATCTTTTTTCAAATATTTAAATAAGCCCTGCCATCTTCGTTGAGGGAGAGACTTGCTTACCATGTGTTTTGCATAATTAATTTTCTCATTTGCATGCTGCTCCCAATCTTTTGTGATTAATTCAAAGAGGTTAGGCTTCACTACATTGAATATTCTGGACTGAAAGAAATTATGATTTGTTTGTATCTTTGGATGCATCTTTGTTTTTTTCTAGCGTTTTTTTCTTCTCTCCAGCAGATTGATAGTATTTCAAAAGAGATATTTATGTCCCTTGAGACTATAATGGCTCCATGAGAAATAACACTTGTCAGAGAATCCATACTTTAACTGAAGTGACAAATGAAAACTCATCAGCACATGATTCCATAGTCCCCTCCACAATGAACCCCACGCTTGCTTGAGATGCGACAGACAGCTTCGGCCTCAGAAAATAACAAACAACAGGTCCTTAGGAGTGATAAGAGATTCCTCAGCGACGATTTAGTGAAATGGATTTTTTTTTTTAAACAGACAGGACATTTCCAGCAAAATGTGTATGTCTGTATGGACCGATCAGCTGTGTGTCTGAGCTGCTTTGAGGAAAACAGGAGACAATTGGCCAAACAAGTACAAGGAAAACATGCAGATTTCATCTTCACAGCGTGCAAAGCATTATTTGAATTTGCATGTAGGCCTATTACCAATCCTAATTTTAATTTAAAGTGATTTCTCCCCCCACCATCCATTAGTCATGGTAAATCGATAAAAACCCACTGGGAGAATGCTTTGCTAATGACTGGCACACAGTTTCGCTAGAGCACTCATCAGGACAATCTCTCCCTCTCTCACATTCTCTTTCTCTCTCCATCTTTCTCTAGGCAGTGGTCCTTAATTGCAGTATTTAAAAGAGTGCAAGCACAGGAGAAGTCCCTTGTGTGTTTGACTGTCTGCTACATTATAACTGTACATTTGCAAATGACGTGCAGAATCAACTTTAGTCATGAAATGAAAATTCACCGTAAATGCATGTTATTGAATTTTATTGTGAACAATTCATCCATGCATTGTTTTTTGGGGGGGGTTTCTTTTGACCTCATAATTTTTAACCAAACTTTCACAACTGGACCTTCCTTTTCTCTGGTGAAGTGTGATCATTTATCTTCATAATTTCCAGCCCTTTAAGCTATTGTTCATCTTCCTCCACTTTTGAGTGCAACGCCCAAAACTCAAAATCCAATCAACAATCTAACATCCAATTTCCTTTTTCGATAAACTGTTACACTTGGATTTATGTTTAAAAGTATGTCACTATTTCCATTTTATCATGACGTTAAAAAGAAACACTGAAGCCAATAGTATAGCAGCCTACTATTTAATTTTATGTTTTGGTGGCTTTTCTTCATCCCAGTGGTCTTGGACTTTGTACTGACACCTACTGGCAAGGATGTATGAAGGTAATTGACTAACTGCTGCCAATTAACACCAAAACTTATAGTTTATCTTTTGCTTTTTTTTTTCTCATATGCACTTATATAAAACTATTCAAGGCTGTACATGAGAATACACTGAAAACATACATAACACATTATGTTTAAAATTCCTACTGAATAACACACTATCTCTCCTTTCAAAGTAATCACTGAAACAAAATAACAACCCTGAAAAAACATAAAGCTGACATGAAAAGAGTTACCATAAAATACAGTTATTATAAAAATCTGTACATTGCCATCCTCAACCCTGCTCGCAAACACACACACGCTCATTCATTCATTCATTCATATAATATTTTTATCTCTCCTCTTATTCCATGCCTGAAGTCTATGGTGGATTTCTTAGCTTTATCGCTGTTACACAGAAGCTCCTTTTTGGCAACAGTGTGCGAGCACTGATAGCCACTAAATGAATTTGGGCTCATGAGATGCACCGACTCATAAATGTCTCATGCACTGATAACTGCATATCTTACCTTGAAGTTTGTGCTGCACTAGCCCTGCTACGGTGGAGCCATGTACTCATGGCTTCCAGAACATCGCAAACATGAAGCAGCCGTGCCATATTGTCTTTAATCGCTTTGGAATAAAATCTCAGTGAACCTCTCCATTAGCACTCCAATTTCCTGGGCTCTCTTTATACACACACGCATATTTCGTCAACACTTGACCCAATAATACACTATTCTATTTCTATTTTAATTTGTTTTAACTTAAAAGAATAAACAATAAAAACAAAATTAAACAGTTTCACTTTATTTTGATGGTCCCTTTAACACATTCTGTTGACTAAGTAATGCTGCACCTAAATGTCAACAAACTCTCATTAGAGTGTTAGTAGAGTATTAGTAGACTGATAAGGTATAAATTGACTAATAGTCTAATATATTTTAAAAAATCCCATTATTTGAACGAATCGAGTGAACGATCCAGTATTCTCTCAGATTAATTCTTGTTTCTATACAGTAACACCCCAATTAAATAAATACAATAACAAATATATTGACAAAAATATCAACAAAAACAAAAATATTGACAATAATATAATTTTCACATCATTTGAATGAATGACTTAAGTGAATGATTCAATGATTCTCTCAGAAAGACCTTTGTTTCATTCTTGTTAGCTTTTGTATAATAAGCAATATATCATAAAAGGGTCAATAGTATTCACAATAACAGTATTCACTTAGTAAATTTAAAGTGCAAAAACCTAAAGAACAGAAAGAATATGAGATTTTCTATAAAATAAACTTTATTTATTGGATGTGCCTTTGTTTGTTGTTACTGTATGTTAAAGTGCTCTGTTGAGTTAAGTCTTCAGCTGTTCCTTAACATTGTGATGGTCTCAACAGATCGGATGGAGGTTGGGATCCCGTTCCATCGCTGTGAAGAACAGACGCACAGCAACATTCTGGATGGCAAATCTCCAACATGCGACAGATGTCAACACCCCCCAAACAAATCTTATACATATGTCTTGGCCCATATTTATACTTTGCTACTGGAGTGAGATTTTTAATTCAGTATTGATATCCTCAATGTCTGTCCTGCATCCAAAAAAATTAATATTTCAAAATAAATACATATTTTAGCATTGCTGGCCAGATGCCTGAT